TAGATAGATAGATAGATAGATAGATAGATAGATAGATAGATAGATAGATATACACACATATATGCATATGTGTGTATGTATATGTAGTATATACATATGAACAGATTACAGTGAAATCTTTTCTTAATAAGTAGATAGTAAACTAAAATAATTAAAATATTTGAAATTTATATATTCAAAAGTACTTTTGTAGAATGCCTGAGAGAAAATTTAAAAATCATAGTTATATTATATATGCTTTTGGGGAACAGATAAACATGTTTTAAAAGTTTCAAATTAATGTTTATATTCTATATCTGCATATAGAGTGAGCGATAAGTATATGTATAAACACAAATGTATATTGATTTGATTGTCTTCTAAGACAAACTAGAAAATAAATTAAATTCTTATTTTCTTATCTCAATATGTTTATTTTATGTGATTATGAAATATAAAAGACAAGTTGAATAAACCTAGAATTTTATAAATTTTATAAATATAACTTTGTTTCTCTATTTCCTTTATTTGCTTTTCTTTAGCAGTAGATAGTTAAAATGCTTTTGAAAAATAGCAATTGCTTTTTGATAATTTTAATATTGTGATGCTCCAGTTCTTCTGAAAAATAAACACTTGGAAGCTCTTTTTTTTAAATCACATTCTTTCCTCATCCTTAATAGAAGAAACTTTTAACCTTAGATAAAGTGTAAAAATGACTCTGTGACTATTGTGGGATGGCTCTTTGCTCTTAAATTTAAAACTATTTCGTCATTCAGAGAGATCACAATATACTGTGTAATGTACAATTTTATTAAGAATGTAAGCATAGAAAGCAATATTTACTCCACGCTCCCTTTCTTCTTTTACAGATGTGTAGTTTTAGAAGGCTCTGTTGTAATGTTGCATGTGGATTTGATGCAAAGAGAACACATCTTGTAACAGGAAAATGTGTTGGCATAATTTACTCTGTAGTCCATTTATTCTTTCTACAGGTTAATTCTTTCCAAGGTATATATGTATATGTATATATAATATACACATATATTTGCATATATTTAAGAGGATCATATTTCTTGTTCAGATTTGATGTTGTGATTCTTGGTCCCCATGCCCCCTTTCCTTTTACAGGTGTTCATTTAGTGGCTGCAGTGCATTTAGCAAAGGCTGTCCCATCTCTTGGGCTGAGTTTAATTTTTTTGTGCATGGCACTTTTGTTAGGTGGGCTCTGCTTTGTTGTGGAATTATCTGAATTCATCAGACCGTTTCATTTACTGAGCTGAAAACTCCAAGTGTTTTGTGTTTTATTGTTTATCCCATTTTGTTTTAATTTCCAATCATTAAACTTTGTCATTGAAATCCAACCCCATTCTTCGTGCCCTTTTTTCCCCAAGCTTGAATTGTAAATCTTAAATCTCATTTCAGCCAATCAGTGAGCAATAGCTGGCAAACTGTGGCAAACCACGTAAAGACAACGCTGTACACTGTAAGAGGACTGCGGCCTAATACAATCTACTTGTTCATGGTGAGGGCTATCAACTCTCACGGTCTTAGTGACCCTAGCCCCATGTCTGATCCTGTGCGCACACAAGGTAATTTTAGAAAATGCAGGCTTTATTCATAGTGCTTAGAAAGATAAATTTAATGTGGATTTATGAATAAATTCATTAAATATGGATCATGGACAAATGATATCTCATTGTGACTTTTAATATTTTTCCAATAGGTTTGACTCTGTGGTTAAGAAACACCCTGTTCACTTTGGCAAGGTATTTTGCCTTTCTCAGCCCTATATGTTTAGTGTCATAAAGTTCCATTTTACATTCTTTGGCCAGGATTTTATAGAAAAAGTAAAGCCAAAGATGAAGACTTCAGGACACTTAAAGATAGAGGGGAGAGGAAGTGTTTTTTACATGCCATCTACCCCTGATTTGTACATGATTATAATAAACAAAATTTTTATAACCTAACTTATTCAGACCACTAATGGAAAAGCACTTATGAACACCTTATTACATGCCAACCCTAAATGCTGAGGATACAAACATAATAGTAGGGAAAGTTCCTCCCCACCAATGTCATATATTCTAATGGTGGAGACTACACATATAAGAGAATGATAGCCAGAGAGAGATATTTTTGTCTGGAAAGTTACAGGGATGGTGAGGGAAGCCATAGAGTGGTAAAATTATATACCCTTTCCATTAGCAGGTGTGTGTGTGTGTGTATGTGTGTGTGTGTGTGTGTGTGTGAGTCAATTGTGAGAAGATGAACTGGGAGTAAGATGAAACATATAGTCCAAAAAATGAAGCTTTTTCTTCCTCAATAGACTGACTCTTAATATAAAAGATTATGATAATATGTTCTCTTCCATCTCAGCTGGGGGTTTTGCCCTTGCTGAGAAGCTTGTGGTCCAAGTGTCAAAACTTTTCCCTCTTATTTTTATGCCACATTTTTATGTTTTTACTGAATTAGTCCCCTCTAGCCACAAAAGGGAATACAATTATGTAATATAAAAATGAGCTTATCACTTATATACATCAAAAAGAGCTGTTAAGAAGAGGTTAATTATTTTCTATTTGTCAGACTTGTTTTTTTTTACAGAATATAATGCAGAATGGTATTTTTATGCTCTGAAAAGCACCACACAGGCATAAAATATTATTATAATTATAGTGTGTTTCAGTGATAGTAACTAACATGCTATTATAATGGGGAATGGTTCCTTAAAGTATTCAAGTGAAATAAAATCATCATGTGACTTTTTAAAGTTACTGACATGACAGTCAAAGAAGGAGGGAAAAGCCATTTTGCTATTGTTCACTGAACAGTCATGTGATTAATTTTCTATGATTAAGAGCCTGTCTAGGTAGAAAGAAAAAGCACAACGAGGAATATGAAGATGTGAATAATGGTAATATTTCATCTTTACCAGGATACAAATTTAATTCCATGTTTCTGTATTTAAGGAGTAAATTAAATCATTGAACCTGAAATGTAAGATAAGAAATTAAAATTGTAACTTCAACAATTACAGTGCATTAAGGTATTTAATTTAACCAAGTAGAAAAAAATGGCAATTTTGTAGATCATATAATATAGATCACATCAATGTGAATCATAGAAGATTGGAAGTTTTGTATTGTGTGATTAAATGTAAGAGATTCAGAAGCATTTGTCAGGTCCTACATCAACTATGCTATTTACCAAAGTCTATTAAACTAGAATAAATTTTCGGTGAAAAAAGTCAAAACAGAGCCACCAAAAGTTGTTTTTGATCTTTTGTGTTTTAATACAGGAAAGATACAAAATAAATATACTCAACATTTCCCTTAAGAGGAAAACCCATGATTTTTGTCAGAATTCCAAGAATACTTTTGAGTTAACATTGTATAGTAAATAGCCCATGTAAGCCAATTCAGTCACTGCTACAATTGACATGATATGATTTGAGCATAAAAAACCCTTTTTTTAAAATAAATGACCTTTTCAGTTAGTTCAATTTTCAAAAGTTATCCATGACAACATCTAAACATCTCTTATATTTATTTCAATGAAGAGCAAATGCATAGACTTCAGTTAAAGTCAGCATTAGAGTATAGGATGATACACACAGCTAAAAATTAATATTAATCAACTAAAAGAAAAGTGAACTTTTTTTACAGTATCAAATAAATTTAGAAAGCTTTATTATTCATGCAAGCGTAAGGAAATTAAAATTAACATAGTTAAGTGCAAATCGATTTTAATGCAATAAGAAGATTCTAATTTTACAATATGAAGTATATAATATGTAATATAAAAGCAATAATGCAATGTAAGTGAATAATTTTATTTGCTGAAATAAATGCATTGTATTTCCAAAAGTATAATCAGAAATTAGTATAATAAGTAAATAATAAAATTAGTATAATAAAGTATAGTATAATAAAATTAGTATAATAATAAAGTATAACCAAAGCATATCAGAAGGGAATTTCAACCTCAATTTCTCTTGTGTAATTGTTGTAAATTTACATGTTTAAAATTAGTAACTGGGAATTTATTTTATATGTACTTTTATTTTATACAATGTGCTTTATTTTGTAGGAATAATCTTTTTTTTCTAACATGGAATTGCAAACATGCATATATTGATAGAGTTATAGGGCAGTAAAAGGTAGTGGAAGTGAATAGTGAATATTTATCTACTATATTGCCTTATCATACCAAGGAGATCAATATTCAAACTATCTCCATCTTTTTTGTTTCCAGATACTGTAGTACTGTTCATTAAATCACTACTTCTGTTTAGGACAAAACAGGAGGATATTTCCACCAAAATTCTACTCCAGCCAATCACCTTTTCCTCACTTTTAACATATATACATATATATACACACATATATGTATGCACACACATAAACATTTATATGTACATACATATGCACACACATGCAAGTACACACACACCTATATACCCATAAACTCAGGTCAGCCATATTTCCCCTTTATGTTTGTTTGTTTGTATTTTCCAACATAGTTAGCATTATTTTGAATTTCTGGGCAAAACATGGTTGGAGAAGTAAAGAAAGACAGTGGTATCACAACACACTAGCAATGAGTGTGCTAGGTAAACATGTGGTTGCCTAAAGCATTAATTTACTTTTCCAAAGTGCTACATTTATTAGTAAAGAACAGCTTGTTCATGAAGTTCCTAGATTTGAGTAGAGATGACTTCTCGATAAGCAAAATGTCTCTACTATCATGAAATAAATATTATGACAAAATATTTTAGTTGATATCTTGTTCATCATTAAGAAAATAATATCTATCTAAATAGGCCCTGCTTAGAACATGTTTTTCCATTGTGGAAACTTAACCTTCTCATGAAGGTGAGGATGACTTCTTTTTCAGCATAACATTATGTCAAAAGATACTTTGATGATTTATTTTATAAGGCCAGGTTATACCATATCCTTGTGCTAATATAATGCTATAAATCTGATTATATAAGTTACTATAAAACAAAAATAAATACTCTTTGGGAATGATTGTGTGCCAACAGATATAAGCCCACCAGCACAAGGAGTAGACCACAGACAAGTGCAGAAAGAACTGGGGGATGTCATCGTACGTCTTCATAACCCTGTTGTGTTGACTCCTACCACAGTTCAAGTTACATGGACAGTAAGTGATTTGTAACTACATAACTAATTCTTCTTTATTGTATTCCTTATCTTAATTTAATTGAAACACTACACTAAAGATAAGTTATTTAATATATAAATGAAAAACCATATAAATTGAATAAAATATTAATTTTGATGGAAAAATGTTATTTTGAATCCAATATATATTGTGTCTAATATGTTTAAGTTTTTTGAAATTATATAGTAAATGTGATAAGAAAATAACCATCTTTATGTGAACTCAAAGCAAAATGTATCAGTAATTTTTTTAAATAGAAAACTGCTTTTCTGAGCTAGTAATTATAACAGCAACACAATAACAAGAAAGCTCTAGCAAAATAACTTAACAGGAGAATATGCAATGGCTTCTGACAAAGCTAATGCCAACCAAGTATTTGTTTCCAAGTTCTGTTCCTGCTTTGTTGTTATTCATTTGTTTCAGTTGTGTCCCACTTTTCATGACCCTTTTTGGGGTTTTCTTAGCAAAGATACTCTTACAGATGAGGAAACTGGGGCAAATGGAGATGAATGACTTGCCCAGGGTTACACAGCTAGTAAGTGTCTCAGGCCGGATGTGAATTTGGGCTTCCTTACTCCTTGACCAGCATTTTATCCAGTGTGCCACCTAGCTGTCCCAGTGTACTGTGTCCAAAAATGTTTTTGAGTGCTGATTTTATAAGATGTTGTATGATTTAAACACCAGGAAAAGTGATGTACTTTCCCAGCCTTATGTCACTCTACTCCTTTTTTGTACTCCTGAAAAAAAGAAAAACAATAATAATTGCTTAAGCATATGTCTACTTCCTGATAACTACAATATTTTTAGAAGAATAATCTACACATTCTTTATCAAGAGTTTTCTTGTTGAAGGTATGAAGAAGCAGATTTGTACAAACTATTCTTTGGCTGATTCCTTCTCTATAGTTTCATAATTGACTGAAAGGTATAGTATATACCAGATTCCCACTCTGCAGATTGATTGTTGATTATTTTAAGAACAACACTTAATTAATGCAAAATCCTGCCTTAAAGACTTTCTTCCAACATGATGTAAATTGGATTCATGTCTCTCATGTCTCTAATCATGCAAGATTATTTGAAAGTTAGAATAACGGATATAATTTTGTTCAGTGGCCATCCGATTTATTAGTGAAATAAAAAACAAGGAGATATGTTTTCCAAAGGTGTTTAACAATGACATAGAGAATATGAAATTCAACTTCTGATTTCTATGTCAGAGTGTTGACTTCAACCTTAGAGCCTCCTAAATGAGATTTATAATCATTCAAAACATTTGTCAATAACAAAGGGAGAAAAAGTGAATGAAGAATGCCTATTGTCTAAAGTATGATATACTGTAGCATGACAACTCACAGAGGTGGTCCATCAGCATATAAATCTTTGACAGATGTTACACATTGACAATGAACTGGCCAAGAATTGAATAGAAAAGGAAAGCAGACTGGATTACAAATGGAAAATTGTTCTGTCCAATGACCACAGACTTCTTCCTGAAGCCAAGGCCCTTCCTTTTAATATCATTCTTCCAGTAGAGCTAAAATGGCTAAAAAGCATAGAACATTGTAGTTTCTGAAAAATTAAAGGTACAAGTATGAAAAGAGGAATGGAGAGATGAAGAGTGCCTGGAAGTGGCTTAGTGGAGAGAGTGCTGGGCCTGGAGTCAGAAAGATCCATCTTCCAATGTTCAAATTTGACCTCAAGCACTTATTAGCTGTGTGACCCTGGACAAGTCTCTCAATCCTGTTTGTCTCAGTTCCTCATCTGTAAAATAAGCTGGAGAAGGAAATAGAAAACAACTCCAGTATCTTTGCCAAGGAAATCTCAAATGGGATCAGGAAGAGTTGGATAGAACTAAAGAACAACAAAAATGCCTGGAAGTTGACTGTATACTATCAACAACAAATAACTGTATTTTTTAAAAAAAACAATTAAAATATTTTACTAGAGAAATTTCTGACTTTACACTTTGGTCTTCCATGCTTTCCATAGGAGTAGGAAGAAAAAAGTTCACATAGGACTAGAAGGTATAGATGGGATGTGATTTACAGATACATCTGGAAACTGAGTTTCAATAAGTATCTCTTCTGCTTAAATTATGATTGAATTGATGTGTAACAACAAGTCAGTCATATGTAATTGGTTTACAAAAGATCAAGTTCCTCATAATATTAATGTTCATAAATATATCATTTTAAAACATAACACATTAAAACCTAAAGGTTATGTTATAACCTAAAATTATTCACCTATCAAAATTAACTCTTAAAATCCACAGCATGGTCTACATATGCTGCAGAAACAGTATATTCTCTTTAATAGAATATGTACAATATTTTACTTTTTCTTCCTCCTGTAACAACTTTTTTGTTTTTACCCCCTTGAAAAAATTATGGCAACACATAAATTCACTTGATACTAGATTAGTTATTAAGTAGGTCACCATTATATTATAGTTTAAGGAGTTACAGTAAAGTGGGCAAAGCAACATTTTGTCATAAACATGAGGTTCATAAAGTCTGTAAAACATTTAATTAATGAAAATAAAACATGGATAAAACCAATTTACCCTGATTTACAGACTCCCTTCATCTGGAAACAGCTGCTTAATGTTCTTCTTAAAAACACAGCTTGCTTCTTTCAGTATTAACAAGCTATTATTGTGAGTTATGCCTCTCTTTCACTGCATAAATTCACTTAAAAGTGAATGCAGAGAAGTTTATAAAATGCAAACCTAATGTTGTTCTAACATATGTTGCAAGGTTTCTTAACAGTGACAATTTTGATGAAAGATCTCTATTTGGCTTCATAAATTTAACTTTTTGCTTCTTGTTTGACTTGTTTTAATGTCATAACAGCAAGCTGTTAGGAATATACATATATATGTATTCTATAATATACATATATACATATGAAAGAAACAAGGTGGTTGATCTGATAAACACCAAAAAAAAATATACTCAACCTTTAATACAGGGCTCACATATTCTTACTATATCCCCAAAGAACTGTAGCACTAATTCTAGAAAATCTCTGACTGACAATTGTCAAGAGGGTGAAGGAAATCCTACTTGTTCAGTCTCAGCTGTAAAAGTGGAATCAACCACCTGGATACCTAAATAGAAAGGATCACATATCTATCTCTATGGGTTTGGTAGCAATGAAGTTCTAAAAGTAGAGAAGTCACGGACTGAGGTATTTCAACCAAAGTTTAAGTATTACAAATTTAAAACAAAAAGCATTTGTTATTGTTACTTTTTCTTTACTTATTAAAACAATAATTTTAGGGCCAAAGAAAAAGTGCCAAAAGATGGTAAATTAAGAAAAATGTCCAAGCACAGTCTGTGGAAAGATTTAAGAATTATATTTGTATTAGAAACTATCCAAATAAAGCTGAAACAATAAAATTATATCTCTAGTTTCAACTCTCCCTCCCAGAAGTAAATCCATGCCCTGTGATTTGATATTTTTAGGGGGGTGGGTCGTGATGCATTAAATACAAACATTTCTTAAAATATACTTATTAAACATGGCATGTAATTTTATAATTTTAAATAAAAAACTACCATGTTCTTTTAATGGCTGATTAAGTATTTCTTTTTTAAAAAAATTATTCATTTTTAGTTTTCTACATTCACTTCCATAAGATTCCGAGTTTAAAATTTTCTCCCTCTCCCTCCCATCCACCTTCCCCAAAACAGTGTGCAATCTAATATAGGCTTTACATATATATTCATATTAAACATTTTCACATTAGTCTTGTTGTAAAGAAGAATTAGAATAAATGAGTGGAATCATGAGAAAGAAGAAATGAAACAAGAGAGAAAGAGAGAGAGCAGGAGAGAGAGAGCAAATAGTGTACTTAGATCTGCATTCAGACTCCATAGCTCTTTCTCTGGATGTGGATAGCATTTTCCATCATGAGTCTTTTGGAGTTGTCTTAGATCCTTGCACTGCTGAGAAGAGCTAAGTCTATCAAAGTTAGTCATTGCACAATGTTGCTGTTAGTATGTACAATGTTCTCCTGGTTCTCTTCATTTCACTCAGCATCAGTTCATATAAGTCTTTCAAGGTTTTTCTGAAGTCTGACTGCTCATCATTTCTTATAGCACAATAGCATTCCATTGCATTCATATACCATAACTTTTTCAGTCAATTCCCAATAAATGGGCATCCCCTCAATTTCCAATTCTTGGCCACCACAAAAAGAGCTACTATAAATATGTTTGCACATGTGGGTCTTTTCCCCATTTTTATGTTCTCTTTGGGATACAGTCTTAAAAGTGGTATTGCTGGGTCAAAGGGTATGCACAGTTTTATTGCCCTTTGGGCATAGCTCCAAATTGTTTTCCAAAATGGTTGGATCAATTCACAACTCCACCAACAATGCATTAATGTTCCAGTTTTCCCATGTCTTCTCCAACATTTATCCTTTTCCTGTTTTGTCATGTTAGCCAATATGATAAGTATGATGTGGTACCTCAGAGTTGTTTCAAGTTGCATTTATCTAATCAATAGTGATTTAGAGCATTTTTTCATATGATAGCTTTAATTTTTTCCTCTCAAAACTGTCTGTTCATATCCTTTGACCATTTATCAATTGGGGAATGATTTGTATTCTTATAAATTTGATGCAGTTCTCTATATATATTAGAAATGAGGCCTTTATCAGAGATACTGGCTGTAAAAATTGTTTCCAGCTTTCTGCTTCCCTCCTAATCTTGGTTGTATTGGCTTTGTTTGTGCAAAAACTTTCCAATTTAATGTAATCAAAATCATCCATTTTGCATTTAATAGTGTTCTCTATCTCTTGTTTGGTCATGAATTCTTCCCTTCTTCATAGATCAGAAAGGTAATCCTTTCTATTTAGATATCTAGGTGGTTGATTCCACTTCTACAGCTGAGCCAGAACAAGTAGGATTTCCTTCACCCTCTTGACAGTCCTCTGTCAGAGATTTTCTAGAATTAGTACTACACTTC